CGGCGACGTCGGGAAACAGTTTTCCAGGTGTGTGGAAATGTCCTGGAGGCGTGGAGGTTCAGAAGCGACAGGACTTGCTCCGGTGTCATGATGCCAGACTGCAACCCTCGGGGAAATGCCAGAAGGTCAACACTAGCGAGCGAACGGTCAGCATGGGATTTCAAGAGTGACACGGTGCAATCCACGGTTTGTTTAAACCAGACGCTGTAGTCATCGGCTTCTGATGAGTAGGCCGTCGTCTGACTGATAGTTTGCTCAGGTTCACCAGATGATGTTTCGTCCTGTTGTGCTTGCCAGTTAAGCACCCGTAACCTGGTTTTGATGCTGATAGCCGATCGGCCAGGAAAATACTGCTCCAATCTCGTGAACAGCTCGGTTTGCGTGCCGCAAGATGGATATAGATTGTTAGCCAGGCGTAAGAGCGATTGTGACTCTTGCTGGGACCAGCGGGTACCGGAATACTTCACTCGGCCAAGCTTATCTGCATTATGCTGGGTGGGGTGTGCGTGCCGGCGGTGTTGACTCAGGCCAATCTTCGTCGGAAAAAGGCGGGAACAATCAGCGCAGGCCAATTGGGCGACTGTGTTCGTACCAACACTTTCATTGTCGTGAACTCGATGATGGGCTACAAAGCCAGCTTTCGATTTGCAGCACTTGCCACATTCCTCACACGTGAACCCAACGAGTCTCTCCTGTGTACTGGTTGGAACTGGTGCGGAGGCGCCAGATGATTCGTAGTATACATTGTCGAAAGTAACCAGCACATTGAAACCAAACGGGGTGGTTGGCCCTGTCTGGAGTTGCTGAACTCTTAGCTCACCCAGACTGACGTCCAGGCTACTCGGTCGGCACCACGAGGAGGTGGTTCAGCTCGCCGACAATCGTACTACTACTACTACTGCCGTACTTTGGTTAGCGGCAACGTCTCATATCGCTCGTTTTGTGTAATAGGCACGTCTTCCACCAAATATGAGAGCATGAGTCACAGACTATTCCCCTGAGTGTTCTCACGTTTGGCACTGTTTGAGATTGTCAACAGGACTTGCATATGTCAATAGACATCGTTGCCTAAGTTCATTCATAGGATCACTGCAAGCCAGTTTTGGCCCACCTTCTCTGTAGCACGCTCATGCACACGAAGTGCTCATATCAAGCAAATATCACCAAGCTATCGATGTCTACCGTCTTAAAGAATCGCATCTTGTTACCAATAAGTTCGATACCCTGGTTATCACTGTTATGGGGTACAGTACAGCGTTGTCTTGACGGAATACGCTAGTCATAAATCACCGAAGACGCTTCAGCTTCGAAATGAGGTGGATGGGATAGTAACTGATTTGCAAACGAATTAGGTCTCCAACAAGTTGTGACAGGACAAGTGCTGCTAATTTTAACTCTTGGTGGTTCTGAGCAAGTTGGTTAAAAACTTGTAACAGCCCATGTGGTGAGTGTGATAACCATAATCTGACTTTTAAAGGAAGCATTAGTTATGGTATTTTACCCTCTTAGGCCAATTTTATTCTGGTGTTGTACTGCCTATGGAGACCCGGAAACGATGCCACATTCGTCAAGTTTATTTGGCCTGCGTTCATGCTTTTCAGTGGCATTAACAGTAATTACCCTTATTTTATACTTCTCTACTGTCCAGTGAGGTTTTCACCATCACAAATAGGTTGACATTCACCAGTTCATTCAGGCCCTCGAACGCAAACGTTGAAGAAAACGACTTTGAATTACTGTATTTTAAAAGAAACCGTGATTTCAGGCCGTTCAATTAAACTCTCTCTCAGTCTGAATGGTCTGTTGCAACCCAGCGGGCGCTTCAACCCCCGTATGGAAATGGTAAGTTCTCAGTGCTCGGATTGATGTTGGACACTGAGTGACAGCTTATTGGTGAAAAACACCAAAGCAGATCCGCATGCTTTCCTTTTCGTAGCCGTATTCATGCGCTCTGACAAGCAATTCGCAACCAGAATGCAGACTGCTGACAGGTGACCAAACGACGTGATGTACACAAATGGAGTATTGCTGTCACGTGTGCCCAGAATCCCATCCCATCACACAACTGTATTAGTGTGGCGTGAGTCATCAACCGACGCGACAGTAGTCATTCGCGTGGCCAGTGCAGATCAATAAGAACAGTTATTCTGGCTGAAAATGATTCAATGCCATTTGCTGCATCGGTCGTTTGACAGATATGAATCGAAGCTGGAATCAACGTTGGTCCCGTTCTTCATAAAAAAAGCCGAATAAGCGACTCACAAATACTTGTAGAAAAAAGTATTGCACATTTAGCTAAGAGTCCATTGGACCGCTGGATTTAGGATCCTTCAACTCTTGGGCATCCTGCCAAGAAATTCTTTAACTCTGGAGTGTGGAAAATTCCTGCATATAAAAGTTGAGGTAGAGCAAAGAATTACTATCTGGATAGTTGCGTGATTAAAAAAATTGACACATTATCACATTATTCATGCTTGAACAGTCCTCCTTTTGTCCTGGCCCACACCCAAGTCGAAAGACACCAAACTGGGATTTCACACCCATTCTGGCTGTACGGGACTCTGAGTCCCGTATACTTGACAAGCAGCAGGAAGCATGTTATAACTACTCCACTAATAACAAATCATAATAATCGTTCAACTGTAGCACCCTTTCGGTGCTTGACTTCCATGCAACCTGAAGGAAGCGCGAGGGCTGGGATACTGTTAGGTTGCCCAAGTGTAGACAGGAGAAGCCGAGATCGTTCAACTGCCCTTTCGGTGCTTGACTTCCATGCAACCTGAAGGAAGCGCGAGGGCTGGGATACTGTTAGGTTGCCCAAGTGTAGACAGGAGAAGCCGAGATCCCAAGGTGGGGTTCGAACCACGGGCCTAACGGTATAACCACCGAGCACGTGAAGAACTCGTCTATCGGAATAACTAACTCTGAATTATCGAACCTGTTCACGGTTTGCCCAACGGCTTGAGGGGCGTCCAATAGCTGTTCCGGTTGTACTGATCGGTTGGCTGGTCTGTCAAGACTTCCCTGTAGAGATAAGCAAGTCAATTAGTGCTACAGGTGCTTCAAATCTATAACTAACCAAAAACCTATCCGGTGGTGATATGCTAGAACTTCAATGCTTCCAGCAAGGTTTTTCAGTCCCCTATAGGACATGGAGCTACGGCTGGTATTCCTTCTGTGCACGTTGCGTAGATTTGTCACTTGAGATCACGCGCTACTGTGTAGCCATCACCGGTTCAAAACTTGGGCAATAAATTTGCTTGTTGGAACTTTGGTGGTTAAGCCCAGGGCATTAGACATGAAACAACTGGACGCTGTCTTCCAATTTTCCAGAGTGCACTGTTCTAGCCTTACAGGATGATTACACAGAACGGTTTATCACTTTTGGAGGTTGCATGTGAAGTTCCAAAAACCAGTTTTCGACTTTCAGAGATGCACACATTGTCAGCACTGTAATGGACACGTGGATAGTTATTCTACAACACACTAACCTCAAGGTGGACTTCTCTTCAGTGGATCTGACCACCTGTTCAGTTGACACGGGCCATAGCAATAGAACAAATTGATTTCTCTATGTAGTATGGGGGATATTGATAAACATACGTAGAAAGTCAGAAAATCGAAGCTAATCAGACAAAAATGGGCCTTCGAATGTTTGGCATTCTTTGCACGTGATTGAAACTGGGATGAGTCCCTTATTTTGGGTTTGTTCTTTCCAATGTATAGCATGAAAGTTGTCCCCGAATTTATTTTTGAACTTGGTCAGGATAGTATTGAGTGCAGTAATCTAAGACTGATCACAGCTTGTAGATTTCTCATTGTTGGTTTTCCTCGAATTGGGGCTCACAATCTGACGGACATGGTCCTCAGAATAGTAATCAGTATCATTAATAACTACAGCAAATAACCCATTGTCAACTGGATTGTCGTTCAGTCGACCTTTGAATAGTTTTCCTGCTCGAACTTTGATTCTGGTTTATTATCATTTTGCTCCTTGCAGCATGAACATGAGTTCGTCGCCTACCCAAAAATGTTCACTTTGCCGGTTGAGGAAGTTGGTAGCCGGATCGTTTGGGGCATGATGAACAGTCACAAGCTGAGGTTGAATGCACTAACTCTTTCTGGAGATCTCCTATCCGCTTGTTTGGGTAACCATCCAAGCTTGAAGATCCGCACACGGGAGGAAGCTGAAAGCGCGTCTTCACTGGAATGTAAGTTTAAACTTGTGATGAAATTTTCCTCAGCCGTCTTGTAGTCACCACTTGCTCTTATATAGAACTATATTCGACTCGACAAAGTCATTTTCGTGATGCTAAATATATCTGAAAACCAACCTCTGTCGACCGGCAGATCGATTTTAAATGCTAGTCTGTTCATGCAACTAAAATCCACCGTAAATTTGACAGTGGATTATAATATTTCATTTATTTTGGCGACTTGCTTTCACTGTTTTCACTCTGGATAACTTACAGTCTCCATTTCGATGGTCTTCACGCATGCGCCTGGTGGGGCGTTCTATCTTGTCGAACACTAACCTAGAACAATACTTTACCTAAAACACCTGTACTAAGGGAGAGAGGCGACCATGTTCTCTTTATCGAAAGTGGAAGATAGCAAGTTAGCGATATGCGAAGTTCTAGGTAACTTGCTGCAAACTTTAACTAGGTCAACCACTGACAAGACTAGTCTTGGATATCTGGGACACAGATAGACAGACCATGTTGAGGATGTCATATCCTTAACATGTTAGTTGACCTTGAGTGTTGGAATGGTGCCGTGGGTTGCACTGGCTGGAATTTCGTTCTACAAGGTTCACCCACGTCAGGAAGGACAAAGGGGAGCAGTCAAACCAAGAACAGTGAGGCACTGTACTAAGCGTACTCGTATACTAGGCGGTATAGAGGTGAAGCCGCACTGTCCCTCGCAGTAAGAGGGTGAAGGCAGTAAGGTGATTTCTCCAGGCGATCAGCATGTCCATATTTATGAAAGCAGCGATGCCTCCTTTCTCTGAGGAAGGTCGGTCCCAAAGACTGCCCAGTCCGATCGGCCAGCGGTTTTTGGTGACGGCCAGTGCATAATTCAATAAGGTAGAATTACTTCTAAAACCAGAGTTTGGTGCAGCTCGAAAAGTGCGTGCTATGTGCAGCCGCATTAAGGGTCAGACAAATACGCCTTACTTCCTGAGCCATCGGTTTAAGCCAGTCCCATGTAATCAAGTGGGTCAGACTATTGAGTCACTGACTCCAGGAAAGTTCTCTTAAGAAACCTCAACATCCGCTATCTCGCGGTTCAGACTTTTGAGTCATGAAGCATAAAAAATTTGAAAGGGTCTATGCTAGCGGCGTTCAGTGCTTAACTCACGCACTGGCGGTCAGCCGCTCGTGGTCTGGTTGTTTACAATTCCGCCGCGAGTTTGAATCACCCCGGCGACTCATGAGATACCCACTACTGATGATTCCCACATAGGATAAAGCAGCTGTCCAGGACTTCTTGTATTTTCTACATAGATTGGCCTCTCGTACAGGATGAAGTTTCAACTTAATTATGTTGGTTTGACTGAGGCATCGCGTGCTCAGTGATTTGCTACTTTTTGCTTGATTTTTATGTGGCGATAACGTCACACCGCTTCCAGCACCTTGTTTTAGAATCCCTGTTCGATCACCCCGCTAAATCCGTTTTATTTGGTTTGAGCTGGAATCCGTCACAGAGTATCCAGTGTCTTTACCGCTTACGTCTGGATGAGCACATATTCATCAACGTTCACAAGCAAGAGCAGTAACCTTCAACATTGTGTCGTCCAACAACAATAGCTCTACTTCTGTCTTCGTTAATTCGAAGTTGGTCTCACCAGTAACAGTTTCAACTTCAGGGGTTAATTTAGGAATTGACTATATTCTATGCAGCCCTGCTGAGTGATTGTGCGACAGATGGGATCTTTTTGAAGCTGGCGATTGTAAAGCGCCTACCTGTTGTCGAGTGTGTCGAACGTCAGCGAATCTCATTCGGTTATCGACAAGTTGTGTATAGAATCAGTCGCGTGGTGTCGTTTTCCTTTTTTACCACAGAAATTCTCTGATAGAATCAACTAGAGCGGAGTTGTTTTCTAGATGGAAATTTCCTGTTGAAAGAAGATCCACAGGATCAACTGGAAGAAAGTCTTTTCCAAGTTACCGAGGGTCAGTTATAACTGAATATCAAGAACTCTGTTAGCTGCAAGTTCCATAGTCCACGCTACGCACAGATAGCTGGGACGAGTATGCATTTCGAAGAGTGCTAGCTCGGGGATACAACTCATCGACAGGATAGCTTTGTTATGCGTTCGTGATTAGGTCAATCATTAGAATTACTGAAATCTCTTTCGAGAATTTGAGGTGAACATTTCTGAGATGATAGGGAAAGTACTATGTGCAAAGTCACTTTTCGTCTTTCTAAATGGCTACAATGTCAAAAACCTAGGTAATGCCATTCCCCATCCACTCACCAGTACAGACATTCTGCGCTGCAAGAAGCACTCATGGCATCAGTCAAAATCGTCTACTCCTGCTGGGGATTCTATCCAAATGGGATTTTATTCTTATTCATGTTTAAGTTCAAAATACTGCACGGCGTAGCTGAGGCTGATTACATTTTTTTGCCCCTGTCTGAACTTTGCTCATCTTCCTTCATATTTCTCACAAAAAACGCAGTTCAACAAAGCAAAATATGTGATTAGCTGCTACCGCACTGGTAAAGTTCCGGCCAGATAGGTCCAACATATAGTGATGGCAATGTAATTATAATTTTGCAATCTGTAAATGAGACCACTCTGTGCTAAAAGGCTGAGAAGCAATGTACAGCTGTTTTATCCTCATTACACTGTGCATCTCACTGTGACCTCCCGGCTAGTAGTCTAAACGCGTGCGGTTGATCATCATTGGGATTGACTTTCACCCAAACAGGATAGAGCAACATTAATCTGTTAATTCAAGGAAGTCACATCACGTTGTCAAGTACTAATTGGCTTCTCGGGTGGCTATTTGATGTCGATTGTTCCACAAAGCAGGCAAAATGATTGAATTTGTATGGACACACAAAGCATGACATTTTAAATCCCCACTCTGCCCTCGGTAGACACGGCTCTAAGGAAACAATAATAGTTGATATTCATGGCTTTGACCCTTGATTGATGAAAGCAGGGCGAAATCAGAGATGAATCCGATTGAGTATAAATTAAGGTTTATGGTAATTTCACTGTTTCATCAGGACAGATGTCGCCAGTGACGTGTATGAGTTCTGATTCTGTACTGTCGATTGGAGCTGTTGGTTGGTTAAACTTGAGTCTGATATGGATACCCTCTCAAAAGTCTATTTCTTGCCGAGTGATGCTCATCGCAGGTCAAGATACTGTACGTTCAGTTGGATAATAAGTTTGTTATTGTTCACTCAAACACTGTGGACCATGCTAAGCGCGGTGTGTATGAGTTTTTGTGCTGTCCTCTCTGTCGACGTGTTCTTTCTGAAGGCGATTTAACAGCAGAAAGTCAGATTGAAAAACATCGTGTGTGGACGTCTCCATAAAGGGGCTTCTTCCAAGGAAAAGCCACACCACCAAATGTCTATATTAACTTTTTATAGCGTCGATTCTTTGTTACTTGTGCACATGCCTCCGATTTATGGCATCCGTGTCCCATTCGCACTTACAGGTCCGCTCTTAAACCAGTTCACAATCACCAGCAAAGGACTGTACACCAGACTATGCGTTATTCAGCGGCTGCAACGTGAAGGTGTGAACAGCACTCGTCTTGAGACATGCACACTTCCAACTGATCGATTATGGTATTCGAAAGTATTGACGGTTAGAACAAACAGTCCAGCTGTTGAGTCTTCTCCCCCATCGGAGCCTAGTGAACATTCAGAAGCTTCAGAACAGATTAAGGCGAAAACGGAGACGTCCCTACTTGACTGGATTGGCTTCAAACTAAAAAAATGCATGCTAAACAGAGTAGACTTAAGTCCTGCCGATGAGTACGTCGTCAACTGTATTCACGTCGTCTTCGTTAGACGAGAATCAACTGACTGCGGTGAGGCTATCTGCGAGACTTTGCGGACGGCCACCTTCTCGCGTAAGTTATTTTCCAACAATTTTCTAAGCCGCGTCTGTTGAATGTCACCTATGTTATTCTTTTTTCTCCTAGGTAATTTTGAAGGACTGCAGACAAACGGCTGTTTAAGTTGTCCCTTAGTCTAGATAAACTCAAACATATTAGAGTTGCTTTCAATTTCTCTAACCACATGGATGCACCACGCCACACATGGAATGCGATGTTTTTTTGGGGCAACGCGTGGTACGACCGCGGGGATCTTTGTCCATGCTGCACTCAAAGTGCGATTCCAATAAACAGACCGATTTACTCCGTTCAGCTCTCCATAATCTGAAACTGACTTTCAATCTATCACAGGTACTCTCCGAGCAATATCTGAGTTGCGGGTAACCACATATATTTTAATTTGAATATCTCACTACCTTTCCTTCATCAGTAGGCGAAGTGACGCGCATATTTTTCATGCGCTTAGCTACGCCACCCTGTAAACTGAAGAGAAACGGATTTTCTGCTTGACCGTTTCTACCGAATTAGAGTTCAGTTCGTTGGGATGAAAGTCGAGGTGTTACAATCAATCTGCCATACCAAACTCGTTGACAGTCTCTAATGAGATAATAATAATGAGATAAATATCGGAAATCAGAGGAGCACGGTGTCGTACGACGGTTCGCTCTCTTCTCCACTGATAACCCAAAAGATACTAGCCTAAAGATTCTAATGAGTCCGAAAACCGACACCTGCGTTGTTGCAATAATAATAAATCCGATTTGATAGTAAGACTTCATCGTCAGGATTATGGCTGTCACGGTACGTCGTCATTGGCTAACCGTAAAACGTTTTTGTTTGCTTCACAAATCTATCCTCATTCTTTCCTGTCACATAGCTGCCAAGTTAAGACGTACACGAGTTCGTGGCACGGTTCAAAGCGGAATCAAACTTAAACGTCGATTCAGTGACCTGGATTTATCCACTCATACCACGGATCCAGTCAACCGAGATAACCAGAAGATTCCGTCACCGGAAAGTTTGGATCCTCTTGGCTTGAAATCCGAAGCAAAATCGGAGTGGTCAATGCTTTATTCAGATTCTCTTCCATGGAAGCGGTCGTATAGTCCACCACCTTGTAATAATGGTCCCTTGTCACCGACATCCTTACTTCATGCCTCAATAGCTATCAGAGTTAAGCAAGGCGCCTATCTGTGTCGGCAGTCTGCAGCTTTGAAAGATGATCAATCGACTGTGTGTCAGCTGACTGCTGATCAGACCGATCTGAGTGATGCTGGATGCGACGTGACCTATCAAACGAGAAATCGTGTGCCACCCAAGCGCTACGATCTTGCTGAACAGGATCTGGAAATGGCCTTACAAAGAGTGAGTTGCCTTCGTGTATGCATAACCTCAGTAGCAATATAGTCTAATCAAAAACTGCATTACAGAGTGCTTCAGGATTCTTCTGAACACAGTTGTGGCAGTTTTACAAGGAGAATGCTTGTTTTGGCACTAGGACGAATACGCGGTTATGCTAGACCGCAGAGTTTAGTTCGATAAGATTCTGTTTGAAATCCTGTAGCCAGAGTCAAATTAGTCCCAGAACTCTTCATTTTCATGGGTTTATGACATGTGTACACAATTTCAGCCGGAACAAACCGAACAAAGTAATACCAACAGGAATAACTACGAAAAGTCTTGACCGCGACGCACCTTGGCACCGAACTGGACACCAGGGAAATAATGTTTGCAAGCCGTTGTACGGATAGCTTTCCCAAATATTATAACCTCAAATGGCTAGCCCCAAGGACTGGTTGGCAATCTTCTTTGAAACAAATCAACGCCCAAATTTTTCTGCAAAAATTTGACAAGTTATTGATCCATTTTTGTAGGATATCTTGGCGATTTTTCAGCAAAGGAGAATGGGACAAATCCGAAGTTTCACATCTGTCTACAACTACGGTATTCCTCTATCAGACTCGAACGTAGTGTCGAGACTGCGGTCGATCAACTGCAGTCGTTCTCGATTGACTCAGTAGCGAGGACTTGTAGTTTCAGGGCACCAGAACTGTCGGGTTTTCCTACGGCATAAATAGGAATTTGTAGATGTCGCCCAGCCGGAAGTATGATGCAAAACGATTTCAATGGGCCTCTGGTGCCAGTGCCGTCTTCGCGGCTTCGCTGAATAAGTAGACACGGCTTTGGGGCTTGCACTGTGTCGTAAGATTAGGTAATCGCTATTAGTTCCCAATTTACTACTGTTGTGTTCAGAAGAGAATTAGCACGTACCGAATCGCCGGAGAATCAGACCGACCGGCTGCTAACTGTGTGTAGGCTGACCTCGCCAGAGCTGTACAAGCTTTCGTGATTTATATCACGATGATGGCGTGTGAACCATCCAGAAGATATTCTGGGGCTCATATCCGCGTGACATATCTTAAGCAGTTCGAAAAACTGCCATGAATGACGGTCACTATAACTCCCTCTGTCTCTCTCGTCGAAGGCGTCGAATGGCAGACGTGGTTTTTGTGGGCCAACGACATTTTGCACTGACTTAGTTCGTGAATCACTGTCCGCTGATTGTGCCACAGTCACTATAAACTTGTGGAAACTGCAACTAAGATGTTTCACTATCTGGTCAGGTGAAGGCAGGTGAGAGGCTGCGGTGATTTAGTCCGTAGATACTCAGACTGAAATAGAGATGATGCATTGTTTTTCGTCTTAGGCCACACGATCATAGATGGTAAATGCAGCGATTGCACATTCGTTCACATCTGTTCGGTTCACGCCTGTTGTCTTTATCTTCTGCGTTGTCACCGAACAGGTGGACACACAATAAAGCCTTGGGTGACTTCGAATGTACTTGGATGGGTTCTGAAGTTTTCTTCGCGTTCCGCAGATATTCTGGGAAGCTGGATGAGTTCTTACTGTTAGACTCTTTGTTCCCTTGGCTGCTGAATTTGCCCATTCGGATCACATCGTGATTACCACTTTTATAAAATCCACAGAATACTGCGTGTTTGAGACTGTCCGACTGTTAGGTATCCGTGTGCTGAGCCATATACTTACTCAAGTATTCACTGTGTGAGGCACCAGCCAATAAATCAACCAGAAAGCATCCTGGAAGTCGTGTCTGAGTTGAGTCCGAGGTTGTTCGAGTAAGTCGAAGTTGACTGAAGTAGTGTAACGGTCGATAATATGAGCGCTTGAGTGAACAATTTTGTCCCTGCAACTTTTGTGTATTTTTTGTCCACTAGTGCTGGTGATTCAGAATGCAGACGTGTTTCCGAAAGACTGTCCTTTCATAATGAACCATTAGGATCAGATGAGCGCATTATGGACTCCCTCAACCCTAAAGTGAAGCTTGGTGGCTCCGCCGATCCATGCGTTTTGCTTTACTATTCTGTGGACTCATTCTTCTTCGTTCACTTTTATAGAGTCTAAATGACAAGTTGACTGGAGATAGGAGATTCTCCAAGCGCAAATCACAAGTCAAGGTGAGATTAAACACGACCAGTTCCGAAGACAGCGCTTTGGATATGAAATGCACAGATAGCGTGCACACTACCAATCGGACCAAAGCGATAGTGCATTCGATGGGGAAGATACCACAAAGAATTATACGAAAGCTGGATCGAAGAGCGGGAAAGGTAAACAATGCCTCACTTGTTTTATTTACCTGCTGTCTTGACTGATCTAGAAGGGAGCCTTTTTAACCGCCTGGTGGTCTGCAGTCGGAGCAAGCATGAGATCGGTTTGTAGGGGAGTTAAAAAATCCGTAGGATCCCTTCAGAAGATGGCTGAAATAGAGCAGACTTTAACCCTTCAGCTCTTGGCATTATATTCGCGGACTGGAAGTGCGATTCAGCCACTTTTTCTTCCAACTGTTTACGTTGGCTACAGTGGCTTTCCGCCCCACAACCACTAAGTCTACTCATCACTATTTGTCCGGAAATCTAACTGCTCACAAAATTTTTTGCGACGACGTATGTGTGACGGTTTACACCATCGGTGGACTACTGTCCGTGATTATGGTAACGAGTATGATGTTGATGACGGCGACGATGTCCCGGCTGATAATACTGGTTATGGCGAGTAACTGCAACACAACGTACATCTATATATCCGAACTCAGGTTGACGAACGTGAGCTACTCAAATACAGCTTACAGAACTTATAACGGGCGGTTCAAGCAAGCAGGTGAAATATGGACGCTCTTTGTGCAGACCATTCAGAAGTCGAACTGCTTTTCGACTGAGCCTCCTGTTAACAGCAAATTATTTTGGAACCTACTGTATAACCCCACTTAGGTATACTATGGTATTCAAGTAGGAACTAAGGTTGATAAGCCGTAGAAGGACGAAACCGGTAGTGGGCTGTCAGCGGGGTTTTACTAAACTTATCTAAGTGGTTTTGGGCCAAACAGTTAAGGGGTTATCTCCGGTGTTTAGACTGACCCCTGCCATTGGTGAAATGAAGTCATTTGCATACCGTTTTGGTTTTGACGGGAAACTCACCTGGAACCCAGGTGAATCTCTCGTTTATGCTATTCTTAAGCATTACAATAAACTACAATATATATACAGTCTCGAATATTGTATCAAAGGAAACACGATGTGGCCTGGTACAGCACATTTAGTTACTTAAAAACGTCATAAACGAGACATTCAGCTGGGTTCTAGATGAGTCTCCCGTCACAACCAATCTCTCGTTTATTCTTAAGCATTACAATAAACTACAATATATATACAGTCTCGAATATTGTATCAAAGGAAACACGATGTGGCCTGGTACAGCACATTTAGTTACTTAAAAACGTCATAAACGAGACATTCAGCTGGGTTCTAGATGAGTCTCCCGTCACAACCAAACTAATATGCGAATGAGTGTATTTAGCTAACTTCGTGCAATTTGGGTTCAAGTAGAACATAAGGTTGACTGTGTGTACCTGATGAGCCTCAAGGAAGATGAAGCCGACCGTGAGCTTGGAAGAGTATTCATCAGCTTATGAGTAGTTCATAACCCCTGCGATATTTGATCTATCCAAATGAATGCACATATGTTAAGTGCGCAAAATGAGGTTGACCGAGTGAACAGCAGTAAACAAATTTATCATCGGACATAGCTGATGAATGGGCCCTGCTAGACAGTTGGGCCGTTGTTGAAGCATTTGGAATGTGCTGCAAGAAACAGTCGTACCGTCACTGAACTGGTAATGAATCTTTCCTGTTTGGTTTCCAGCCAAAAAATACCATATGACCTTCGTACTGCTTATCTGCATTTTTATAACACCTTTGTGTATATCTATCCTTCCACTTTGATAACCAGATTACGTCACGTGGTAGACATGCCACTGGTTCGACAGAGACAGCAACCCGGAAACCATGTTCTCTCGAACCTACTCTGAAAGAACACAAAACGGGTGAAATTCGAGGCCAGACGGACATGATTTCGCGAAAGGCTACTAGACGGCGGGTAAAAATGAAACGTCTTGGGCATATATCAGACAAAAAACACGGTGGCACGGTGGGCCAGACGGACGAGCTTCAGCATATCAATCGAATTGGCCATCCTCAAGGATCAGAGCAAGCTTCTACGGATTTATATCTGAATTTGCCAAAGCTAACCGTACTGAAAGGCGAAGAAGGGAGTTTCACGGTTAAACCGAGGTGTTCAACAGAAGTGTCACCGATTAACCGAACATGCAAGGAACTGCATGATTGCTCTTCCAACTTAGCCCGTACCAATCTCCCATCATCTCCTACGCCGGAACTTCCAACCTTCAGGATAGAAAATTCAGCTCAGGTTTTCAACGATTTCCCCTACCCGCTCAACTTGTCCGTAACGGAACAAAATCACTTTTGTCAGTTATCTACCGATGTAGACAGGTATGTTAACCTGTGTTATTTGGACTTGGTGTTGTCCAATATCACTTTACCAGTAAGGCCATTTCGATCACCTGTAAGTCGGTTCCTAAATGGAAAAGACCGGTTAACTACCATGTTCTTGCTGATCTGCGGAAGTGCCCAAGGAGAATCAACTGGACGTATCAGTTTACTTTTCATTTGTAGGCATCCTGAAAGACTAAGTATGTGTTTGACCACGTAAACTGGCCTTGATAAAGCTCTGGTTGGCTGTTGCTTGGGAAGCTCGGTTATGTTGTTCTCTCATACAAAATTTGGAAAACTGCTGCTCTCGTGTTCACTCTATAGGGTAGATCAGCATGCACGGATCGGATGATACAACTGACGATAGAGTGCTCTTATTAGGCTATTTGTATAAAGACACCCTTGGTACAAGTGAGCTGCACAACTTTAGTGTAACAGTGCTGAGACACACAAGACTGAATAGCTTTGCGTTTATTCGATCCAAAAGCGCTTGCGGTAACAGACTAGCGCTCAGTAGATATATGATCAAACACGAATCTAAGCAACATGTGCTTTTAAAAAGATTCGAAGATAGCCTAATTTTCATGTGACGCAGACACATAAGGCAATATCACATAGGAAGTATTATCCCTATTGGGAAAAAAATTGGTCTGCGAAAGGATTTTGTCGTATTTTCGTCCTCTGGACACGCGCAACACCTTCACACAGCTTCCCCAAGTATTGAATGACAGAAGACTGAAGGTCAAGTTTGTACACAACCCAAAAGTTGGTGAATAAGACAGATGCTGAAGTTTAAAAAAATGCTCTGGTTGTATTAACTTAGTACGAAATTAGAACTTCATCCGTTCACATTCTTGCCACTTTACTTTTTTCTCTCTCTCAGTTCACACCAGTCCGACGGGGCCAGACATACCCCTGGTCCTTGTACCAATGCCCTACCCTTTGTAAACCAATCTGTAAGTTTACAGTTGTGCAAAGGGTTGCTATGCATTATAGTGCATTGGTCGTGCTCAGATGTTTGGTGACCGAACTCCTGGAGGTCATAGTATTCTGCGGAGTCAACCTCACTCTGAAGATAGACCACTAACTTAGCCTGCGAACAGAAAGTCACTGTGTTCACGAGCGAGGCGGCTGTTTCGTATCTGTACACGGTACCAGGTCCGTTTCTGGATGACAAAGAAATCCATGGCGGCGAAATAATTCGCTGAATGTTTTGTGGAGATGACCAGAGGCATGTATGTTAGGTCTACGGAAAGCGGAGAAAACCACAAGAACATTTGTCCTGGTCACACGGGTCCTGTTCCAGGCTCAATGGTAGTACTGTACAGGTAACGGTAGTTGACCTGCCTCAGTGCCAGAAGTGGCGATCGCAACCTAGTAATTGAACCCGAAGTGGTCACTTTCCATTGAGTGACCCTATATAGCCTTGGTTTCCCAGCAGTTCAGGACGCAAGATCGAACATATCACATGCGGCAGTTATGTGCATTTACAGACTTGCTCAGCTCATCGGCTATGTTTATTAACGCATCTCTTGCATGTCATTCAACATGCTGCAGTTACATTGCGGTTGGGGAAGCTACTTGTACCGTGTAATAGCCACTGACTGTTCTCTTAATGAAACCAGTAGAGGGCTTAGGCTTATCATGCTCGGGGAGGCAATTGCTTTGAGGTACTCTAAGTCGAGCCAGCGGCTAAAGTTTCTGACTAAAAATTCGTCTGACAAATGTGGCGAAGTGTTTAGTAGCCTCGGACTCTGTCCCATAAGTTAATAAACCTCAGTTTTTTGGAAAATAGCCTTTGGAACTAAACACACAAATTTTGCGGGGAAACTAACTCCAAAGTGTATGGAATAAGGCCTAAATGTTTCAAAACTTGTTAGCGCTTCTGTTAGAGCTGCATCGGGCACTTAGTGTGAACCAGTTGTTGTTGAGTCGTACTGGGTCCGCATCACCGTCTTTGTTCCTGTAGCAGAGCACAGGAGTGAGAGGCAGTGAGGTAGGCGGAATGCACACAGAACGATAAATAGCAACAAACAGCCCATCACCGCTCATGTTCCTTGCCTTTTCTGACAGGAGATTAGATCCCAGGATATATAATCATCATCATCATCGACACCATGACATCAGTGCTCAACACCGATGCTTCACTGCCGGACATAAGTTTGAAGTGATGTTGCCTGTCGTAATACTGAAACGATCTAGACTGCCATGACAAAGCGAGGAAAGTCTAGAGAGCATGTCTGGTGTGGCTGTCGTGCGACAAATTCACTTGAGTCGTATTCACTCTTCTACTTTCCAGCTACAATTGAGTTGCTCAGGGCCCATGATACAGAGCTCATCTATCCTTCCTTGGTCGGCCTCCACGTCACTCTCTCAGGAAATCCCCAATGATCAAATTGGTAAGTGCCTCCGGTGGAAGAGTTCGGAAACGTTAACTTTATGTTATGTCCATTTCTGCTACATCGTTGGCATTAGTCCACTTTAAAAATTGCGATCCAACTGAAACACATTCACCAAATTCCTTTGCCTTAAAGCTTAAGAAAATCTCTTGAACAAAACAGCTCACGATTCGTTCTTCTGAAGATTATGAGAAACGCAAAGCACCCGATTTTCTCTCAAACCTAATTTGTCTTTGAAGACTAGACTGAACTCATTGGTTAACCATTTAAAAAAAACTGCAGTGTTAGTAATGTGCTTTCCTTCGATGAAGTTTGCATTGAAAATGGTGTCATGTAGCCAGTTTGGGGTGATGTGCAACATAGCGAATAGCATGAGCGGGAGACTCCGTTAATTCTCACCCTAGCGCCAGTTTTCTATGGAGTGTTGAACTCAGCACATTCAGAGTTGTTTAACTTCCATCCTGAAGAGCCTCCCGGAGTCGTCCTAATCGTCTACCAGGTTCTTGGATTTCGGAATGCTTTCTATTCCTTCTCAAGCGGATATAATAACTTTTTTGGCCTTCATTCGTGAATCAATAACAAAGCATCTACAGGTCATGGAGTGCTTGGTATGGACACGCCGCGGAGACGCATTTGTGGGGCGACTATGCCAGCATTGTGCAGGTTTCATCCTCTAAGTGAAGCACAGTGATTCTCGGCTTTTCAGCATAGATTGGCTTCACTTAGAGGATGAAACCTCCACAAAGTTCCCCAATCTCCTCACACTACCAACTATGTCAGCATCGCTTCTCTACTCTTCAGGAATAGGTTAGAAAAGAACCAGTCCGCACCTTATGGGCGGGATATAGTTCCATACAGCCCCAACCATTGCCTGCCCTACAGTTCATGACCAGAAAGTTATAGCCGGAACGTGTCACATTTTATCAATCACCCGTCCGCTGATATCTCGCGATGAGAATATACCACGAGCTGGAATGCAAGAGATGAACCTGGTCAGTCCAGCCGTTACACTTTTCAGAAGAAGCTAACGTAGGAAAGCACTTTATTCCATCCAGGCTGTTTCCTATCATCTTTTATGGCAAAGATTTGAGATTTGGAAAAGGATAAGCTCAACCGCACGAGACTCTGCGTCCTCACGGGGATGTATCGCCAGGACACATGGCCCCTGGAGCAGAATAGTGGCCTCCATAAAAACCAAGTTCATCTTCTAATGAGCGAGGAACTCCATCACACTTCAGCGTTCAAGTAGGAAATAAGGTTGACGCAACGCCTAGAATTACGCCTTATTGATGAGCTCTAGGAAGGGCGGAACTGATAGTCGGTTGTTGAGGATTTTCCAGCAACCTTATTGGTAGGTTTTGGTCAAGAACAGCCGCTTGGATTGAGGTGAATTTTCCTTTTCAGTAGTTTATCAGGACGGTATGCTTGTAATCTTTTGAAATAATGAACATGTTCATTGTAACCCGCTGTTGTTTATCCAGCAGGCCCCTCCACACCTCTTACCATGTGGACCAAACTTCAACATCCTCTCCCACCTCCGGAATTCAGGTCATTTCAGCCATTTCGTCCCGAATTTGCGGGTGGCTATACTCAAAACAGTATCGCTGCGACAACGACGAACCAACTACACTGCAGCAGCCTTCCTACACCATCAAACCCCATCGAACCCTACAACTTGTGTGATGGATATGGTTCTGGAAACTTGTGTTCCCTGACCGCAGTTCCACCATTGCCCAACGCCACTCTAGTCTGCAACCCCTCTCTAACGACCAATCCGGAAATTTGCATACCGAGTCAAGCAGACCACCCTGGTCCAAACGAAGATGAAAGGCTCCTTTCCCAATACACCCAGATTGTGCAAAGCAATAACTTAGCCTGTGAGAATATCACTTTCAATATTGTGACTCGGATGAACCGTCAAAGTGATCCGTTGCTATGGTCGAGTGTACCACCTGCCCTCGGAGCCTTTTCGAACCAACCGGTAGACGCCATTCCCTGTTCCAGACCAGTAACACAAATTCAGCCAATCACAAGCACAACCTACTGGAACCCTATGTGTAGAACTTTAGCGGCTGACGTGTGCCAACCCGTAGCCACGGTACTTCATACTCCATCACTTCTTCAGACTAATTTACCCCCTGTGTTTCTTCCATCAGCCCCAGCCCACGAAATTACGACAGACACCTGCAAAAGTTTCTTTTATGTTCAACCAACTGTGAACTCCCACCAACCCAACCCTTTTGTCACTCAATTCCAACCAGTGGGTTTACTGCCCTTTTGTGAAACATCAACCCCATTGGCTGTGCTTCCAGTCCCCTGTCCACTGCAATTTATCACGTGATTTTTTTATCTGTGCTTGCTTTTTTCCTCCTAGCATTGTCCAACTGTGTTCGGCTATCACAAATGACGATGCTCTTGAAAAACTGTATAAAAATGAAACTACTTTTATGTCGTTTTCATCCCGTTTCAAGTGCTGACTGATTGATTCGGATACAAGCAGCTCTGTGTTCCAGCAGAGAGGACTTCTGCAAAACAGCTTGTTCTTAAGACGCGAAGTTAAACGAGTTGTGTAACTTCGCAGTAGCGATGTAACGCAGTTCTGTATGTTCACATGAATGGGCCTTGGCCTCGAGTGGACAGCCCTGGATTCTCACTGCTTTTGACCATAATGGCGTAAAAGCAGCTTTCACCTGGTATTCCTGCTCTTATCCGTTTAACCAACACCAAAATACCGCAGAAGTGGATCAGTTTGTGTCAGCTAACCAACAGCCTAATTTTCAATGCCCGTGTATGAGCGGTGCTCACAGTCGTGAACACTGATCGGCTGAATATCCAACTCGTCATTGAGACGCACTGACCACTAATCAGTTAATGACAAAATGCCTCTGCCACAAATTTTACTTACTTAGCTTGGTGTAACTAGCTCCTGCCCTGGGATGAATTGCGCTAATTACTGCTTTCGATGCGCGGTTTTGATCTAATCCTCTTTCTAGGCTGCCTAATTCCCTAATCGACTGAAACCACACTTGGTGGTGGCAAGCTTCGGTGTTAGCTTGCCTCTTGCACCATAAACTTGACCCATGTATGGAAATTGTGGGAGCGCGTTCTGCTTTTCAGCACAACAAGTGGAAACGAAAGCTGATAGGACGTCACCCTGAAGTACACCATAATTTTCAGCCAGAGAGAGAGAGAAGTAAATGATTCGCATCTAAGAAATAATAAATAAGGAAACAAAAACAGAAAATAAGAAATAGCAATAAGACATGATAAAATAATTAGCATAGCCACACTAGTTAAGTTTGGTCGCTTCGAACATCGAAGGTGGATCCCTCCACTTTTGGGAGCCACAAGAGTTTAGCAAAAGTGGAAGTGTACGGAACTTAGATTTGTTGAAATTCCTTAGGGGAACATTTTCACGGGGAAAGGCTTGCCTCATTTCAACCACCAATTCGTCCTTCACAAATCATACAGTCACACATCGGCGAAGGTGCTAACAACAACGGATTTGTACCGTCCGGATCCTCTGAAAGTTCTCACGGAACCAGTAACCGAGCATGGCATCTCAAGAATACTTTTGCGCTGTATTCCGGTTACTTCATTTTGTCCCCAACTCATTCCTATCATACTAGCCATCGGTCACCAAGTGTAGTACTTGGGTCGAGTTTTTCAGGTGAACAAGTCCACTGGTGTACACTAACGATGCGATCGTCATTTTCCGAAGATATGCACTCTCCGTGCTTCGCAACCTGCGGTTCTGTGGAAAGTCGAGGTTTTCAGCTGAACAAGACCACTGGTGTACACTAACGATGCGTTCGTCATTTTCCGAAGATATGCACCTTCCGTGCTTCGCAACCTGCGGTTCTGTGGAAAGCATAAGCCTCCGGAAAGTCAACTTGGCCAACAAGGGACGGCGTTGTTGGTCTGAAGTAGTTCCTGTTTGTAGAAAAATCGGATCAAACCTCACAAATTCCTGTCGGTGAGCTTTTAAGGGCCTCGCGTGATGCGTAAACTTTTCAGTCTTGTCTCACCTAGTATGTAAACGGCACCTCCGCACCTACTTACCTCCTTAACTGCTCACTTACTTGCTTGCTTCCTCATTTACCTGTTTCACGGCAACTGTCTCCGGTAACAGGATGGGGAAGCTTCGCGGATGCCCTGTACCGTTGTTGCTGCTCGAAAACTGGCAAGAGTATGGATGCTAAACATAGCTGAGGCTCTTGCCATCCGAATCCATAAGCCAGAGCACTGCATTCAGAAACATTATATGTGGATGCGGAGTTTATTTGGGTCCAAACAAAACGGCACGGATGTCAAGTACCAATAGATAAAACCCATACAGTCAAGCAAAGCACGTAACAAAACACCACACTGCGTTCAGAAACATTATGTGTGGATGCGGAGTTTATTTGGATCCAAAAAAACGGCACAGATGTCAAGTACCAATAGATAAAACCCAAACAGTCAAGCAAAGCACGTAACAAAACACCTCCACGGATGCAAAGCTGTCCTAGTCACTACCCTATGCAATTTTGTGGACCTAGTGTCTATACTGATTCTTACTCACATTTCGAAGTTTTCTTTTCAACCCAAATACACCCGAATCTGATATCGAAGAAAAGGATTCCCTCACACAAACATCCGTTCTAAATTTTCAGAAATGTGCATTTCACACCGGACTTGCCGTCGCTACGGGTGACCCTCACCGTAGTGAACGTGGTCGGGAAATCGAAGTTTTTTCCCCGAAAGGAAATCAACGTAGCCGGTCTTCAGGAGAAGCAAGGCTGTTATTTCTTCACAGCCAAGATTTTGGTTCAGGACTTAACTAGGGTTTTTTTTACATTTCAACACAACCTCATCAGCTCTATCTCAGTTCGTCTGCACACTGCTAAATCCTACATGCAGCTTACGTGCGACCTTTATTCATGCAACTGTCAGGTTATTTCATTCTGCAGAAGCACCAGTTTCGTTTCCGCACTTTTCGATGAGGACCGTTTACAAGGTGGAGTCTAAAAATGACCTTGATCAAGGTCAATGCTGAAATCGTCAGTAAGCACATCAGCGGAGCTGCCCATTCACACCACCAGTGAAGAAAGCCTCAGTGAGCGATTTTGCTGACTACTTGTCTACAATAAGTAGGCAAGATAGGTCAGCCTCTCAAAACCTTTGGATTATGAATTCGGAACTTCCGTCCGTGAAGAAAATCCAGCGTTTGAAACACAGAAAGGTCTATGGATTTAACAAGCTGCCGTCAGCCTTGTATAAAGAAGGTAGAACTAATCTTTACAACCAACAGCTTTGTTATTGTGATCGATATGAACTGAACTGATCCCAGCTGACCGGAGGCCTGCTTCGGTCATCCGGTCCGCGAAATAACCACGCGTTTTGAGTGGAACGGTTATTGGAAAAGTAGGCTAGTACCTCTTGAGTCAAACATTTAGCAGTTATCCTTCTTTGTTAGCCGTCACCATATCGCAAGCTACAGCGGCGTCTCTCCGCTAACAGGAAACTGGCGCGCAAGAAATTTTTGATGCTCGTATCCCATAAAGCAAACATCAAGTTCGAAAGCCTGGGAGGCTGATTCATCACTGGAGGTTTGCACTGAATGCTGAGAGTTGTACTACCAGTGGATTTGTCACGATATCAGTCTCCAACTCGAAGGACTTAACCTGCTCTACTGTTTACTACTGTTTTTGTGGTGGTGACAAGTTACCATCCGGGACGGGCACCGATCAGTGCTGATCCTTCTTTCGGTACTAATCATTCTAGAGTATCACGATCCATGACGAAAGGTTCATGTGAGAAATAGAGACGTCCGTTGGCACTTGTTTGGCTCGGGGTGGCTCAGCGATCTTCTGGGCAAAATCTTGTTTCCAGACAGGAATAGATTATCAGTATAAGTATTCCAAATGCCAATTTATAGTCTTTCCTGAATTATACTTCTCGAAGTACCATCAGCTGACTGGAGAAAATCATATGGATGTCAGTAGGCGACATGGGATAGGATTTTAAAGATGAACAACATTTAGTGCGCCCTGTCTCAAATGATGAAGTCCCAAGGATGAATATGTTTGGATAATGGGGCTTGCTGACAGGGTGTCTATCATAAGTCGGTGGTGTGCAGATAAACAATAAATCACAATTTGAGCAACGGATCACTCCGTTGCAACTCAGCTGAACCTCTTGATTGTGATGAAATAGGCTACGAAAAGGTCACCTCATATCTCAGCTGGAACGTTATTAAGAATACCTAAGTATTTGTCTCAACAGGGCAACAACTATATGGTTCATGAAAACTTTCGGAAGAACCCCTCTGGGGACCAGTCGTAGTGTCTTCGTCATACACAGTTTGTTGGTACTTACAGCACTGGAGTACAACATTCGCAATCGATTGCGTCCAGAGTCAAATGTGTCGCTCAACAGCATATTGAACCTAGTCTTCATCATAGAGAATTTTATCACAAAGAGCGTTGGGTTGACGGGAAACTGAGAAGTAGCGTGGTCCTGATAGAGATCCTTGCGTTGTACCTCCCATCTACAGCAAAAATGGTGGGTGGGTACCATGCAATAACTAAAACAAGGGGGCCTCACTGTTTTTTTATTGCACACAAACCGAAGAGCCCCCGAGCTTCCCAATTTAAGTGACATTTGTTTGCGCAGAGAAAATGACCACATTTTTTCATGCAGTTCTCAAACCAGCCCAAGCCCAGAGCGTAGATTCCGTCTGTGATGGCCCACGAGAAACTGTTTTGATGTAAGACAAATCGGTTGGAAACGGTTATCGTCGGGAATTCAACCAAAGGGTTGGGATACATATTTGAAGAATTAGAAAGATAAACCTCCAGTTAGGAGAGTGGGTTGGTAAATTTATCGGAGACGATGGGGCTGACTTGTTTCCTGAATTTTAATGTTATTTTCGTATCAGAAAAGGGTGATTTTCCTGGTTCTTGTTACCTTTTTGTAGTGGAAATGGATGCTAAACTAGACTGTATAAACTATATAATAGCAGAACTGCCGTCATTGATATGCTGTTGAACAGTCATTTGGCATCGGTTTGCGATCACATTGGTGGGGCTATCGTCGGTCGTGAACAGTATTCAGAGTGTCTTATCCTTTCATTCTGGTCAGACTGGGGTTTCGCGCAAAGTTCTATCTTTTATATGCTAAGCACCAAACTCAAAACAATGCTGCATGGTTGCCTTACTGAAATTATCAGTCTGCTGGTTAGTTAGTCGCTAGTCAGTTGATAACGAAACGTGTCTTTTGTTGTACTGGTCAGATACTGCCTTTGAACAGGTCAGTATGCACTTTTTAGGGTTTCATCCGCTAAGATTCGTGCATATA